ACGGAATAGCTACAGGAGAGTTTGGATGGGGGACAAGAGTCAGCACGGAACTGGCCAGAAATGCTGGAGGCAGCTGCAGAGGCCTGGTAGGTTATCAGCTTGTCTGGATAAGAGTGAAGGCGTAACTCTGACACCTTATTGGATTTAAGGGGAATTACTTGCATCAGAGCTTGAGGGAAATTTGTGTTTGGGATTGGAACCTCAGGCTCTCTTGCCTGTGCCAGGCTGGAGTACAGACAGCTGGCTGCGCCTTCTTCTGGATGGTACTTTGTTCTGGTCACTTTGCCACTCAGTCCCCAAGAAGGACATCGGCTTCTGAGTCCTCTATTTTCAGCTAAATAAAGACACAAATACATGAGGGCAGTTACAGTCTTTCACTTGCTACCTCATTTTTCATCTCTGAGCTTCCCTCCGTGAGTTTGTATCCTGAGGGAAATTCATCAGCCTTCACTCAGGCCCATTTCTCAACTCTGTGGGTGAGAAACTGTTTGAACATATTAATTTTGGCAAATAAGCTCTGAAAACCTATACTTAGAATTAGTCCCGAGAAACAGTGGTGGCTGTGTGAAATTTGAAATGTGGACCGCCCAGAGAAACCCTGGTCTTCTGACTGTGGACTATTTTCTTGGTTAGAATCCTTGAGGGACAGTCTGATGAGCAGACCCTCAAGTCGTGATTCTCTACAGGGCATGGGGGTATATCAGAATCAATTCAGACATGAAGAGGGGGGTTCACGCTGTCCACCTTTACTGATTCAGGGCGCCTTCTGAAGCATGTTCTTCGTACTTGGCCCCTGAATTCCAAATTGCTGTTTTAATAAGCCAGTTTCTAATGGGAGTGTGTCATAAATTTCAGGTTTGCTGGGGTGGAAAAAAAAAAAAGATGAGAAGCTCTGCTTTGGACTAATCAGGTATTTTCCCACTGGCATTACAGGAAAGTTGCCTGGCCTGCTCCAGGCAGGCTAACCTGCTCCGACAGGACCATGAGGCGTAGGGTATATAATCTTTGGCTTTGTCCCTGCTGTGGCAGTTGGGTAATAAAGCCTATGCCTGTTCAACCTTAGTTTCTGCCAACCTTGACTGAGAACACTAATGAATAATGTGGGAGGTGTACGTCTGCAAAAGGATAAAAGACTCTAACTAGATGGCTTTTCATGGAGATAAATGCAAAATCATCTACTTTGGCCCGAGAAATTAAACTGCACATCTACAGAGAAGGAAGCTGCATCCACACAGCAGCTCCATGAAGTAGTAGGAGAGGTTTAACTCACTATTAGTTCAACTGATGTCAGTCATGTGACCTTTTAAAAACTGTGGACTGAGAAGTGTAGCATCGTCTAGATCGGGGGTTGGCAAACTTTTGAGACGGAAGAGCGCCAGGGGTCAGCAAACTGCGGCTTGCGAGCCGCAGGCTCTGAAGTAAAATTGAAAATAAAAATAAAACTATCATAGTTTCATTTATAAAATTTTTAAAGGATATTATTCACATAATGGTGATTGTGTAAAAATATATTTATGGCTCTCGAATAATTTTTAAATTGTTGTGAGGGACAGGATTGGCTCTTCCAGGGGTCGGCAAACTTTTGAGACGGAACGTACCCAAAGAGCCGCATGTGGCTCACGAGCCGCAGTTTGCCGATCCCTGGGCTAGATCAAGCAAGGAAAATACTAATTCTTCTGCCACCTGTGATTTGCTTAGTCTGGGGCACCACGCTAGAGACAGCCCAGGAGAGACCCAAAACTGTCTTATGAAAAATGGTGGGAAAAAATTGGCAATATTTAGGCTGACCAGAAAAGAGTTGGGGGTGAAGAGATGCCCATGGCTGTTGTCTTCAAGTATTTGAAGAGCTATCCTGTTAAAAAGGAACTAAATGTGTTTGTTGTAGCTCCAGAGCTCAGAGCTATAATCAATGGGTCAAAAGCAAATGGGAAAGACTTTGACTCAAAATGATAAAGAAATTTCTAATAGAAAAGCGACTGCCCTTGGAGGTAATGAGTTCCTTGTTACTGGTTGCATTTAAACAATGGGGAGCCTCTGGTTGTAGGCAAGTTATAAAAGGCATTATGTACCCTGGAGAGAGTTGTAGAGAGGACCTTCTGAAGTTCTTTCAGTAACTAGGGAAAGTACCTTGTAGTTGGGTGTAATTGTTGGTAGCCTATTAAACACCGCATGTGTGAATAAGTGCAAGAGAGGGTGGAGCTAACCCTTCTTTGGCCTTGTAAAAGCATTCTGTAACTTTGCAATGACCAGCCATGCTAGTGGGGCTGACACATGGTTTCTGAGAGTTGCCATATTACCACATATGGTGCAGACCTCACGAAGAAAAAGAGTGGACCTTGTTGCAAAGCCAGATTTAGATTTCCAAGTTAAACTGAAGTTATCTTTGAGTACAATTAAGAGGATATGTCAAAATTACAGCCATTGTTAAAATTAATCAAAGATTTAGAAAGGTAGAATGAACTCCAGAGCTGGAAATTACTGATTTAAACAATTGTTCTCACATTTTAAACTACATAATGAGCTAAAAAATTATGAAGCCTCAGAGTATAGCTGTAAAGAGGAGTCTAAAACGAAAGTCAGAATGAAATGTTTTAGCTTTCAAAACTAAAAAGCAGAACAATTACTCTCTACAAAATGGTATAGGAAGAGGTTTCTGACCCCTACTAATTGTTTTATTATTCTTCCGAGGGGCATACTGGCAGCATTTCCTGGGGTTTTCAGTAATTACACTCCATTCAATATCTGAAGAATTACAATAATTCTACATGGAATATACTTGTGCCCTTCAGATGCAAAGCCTTTAGAGAAGTGAAAAAACAACTTAAAGTAAATTAGCAGGAAAATTATCATAGTAACTGTTTATTTCAGGGCTCCATATATCAGAGGCTAATTATACATTGTATGTCACAGTTTCTTGGAGGTATTTATAATATATTTTTCATGCTGATCAACAGACGTGCTGGTTTTTAGGATCCTTTGTGAAAGTGAAGTTCGATCTTTTCCGATTGCCTCTTTGTGTATGAGAAATTATCCAGTGTAGACACATGTCACTTAATGCTTGCCAGTCCTCAAAGCCGGAGTATTTGGTGAGGTATTATGAGTGTTCACATATGTGTATATATATTTCTAAAGCTTTGACTCTTCTAGAAATTTTTGTCCTTCCAAATAAGTTGACATTGTATTAAGCTTTCTCAAAGTCATTTCCTATGATTTGGGAAGCTTTCTCAAAGTCATTTCCTATGATTTGGGAAGCCAAGCTTCCATGAGAGAAGAGAGCAAAGACTGGATTTATATAGCCACTCAGAGATTAGAAAGTCTCTTTTCCAGGCTGGAGCTTTAATAATTTTCTACTAGTGTTAGAATTAATCCTCCATCTTTGCAGGACCCCCTTTAGAGTCTGAGCAGCAAAGGTGTCCTGAGATATTAAACAGAGACTGTGGTCCCAGCTACTGTTAAAATAGCAATGAGCAAGAAATGTACATTCTGGCTAAGAAATGGTGTGAAGATCTCACTGATGTTTTTTCCTCATGTTTCTGTGCTTCATTTTCTTCTCCTTTCTTCTTTTGTTTTTAACTAAGTTAAGTGAAGTACAAAATGTTTCCTAGTAAGTCTTTATGGCAACCGAAACTTTACAAAGAAATTAAGAAGATTACTTAATGGCAAAATTAACGAAAGTTAAATTAATTATGATCCATCAATACAATTGAATACTTACTCATTTAAAAAAATGTTTTAGGGCCGGCCAAGTGGTGCGTTGGTTAAGAGCTGGCTTGGGATGCCAGCTCTGACCAGCAGGGCCCCGGTTCGGATCTCACATGAGGGCCAGTGAGACTGCCCTCTACAACTAAGATGGTGAACAACAGCTTGACCTGGAGCTGGGCTGCCGTGAGTCGCCAGCAACAGCTTAGGCTGCAGCCCCTGCTGCAGTGGGCTGCCGAAAGCTACTGTGAGTGGCTGGCAGCCAGCGTGAGCTGCCAAGAGCCACTGTGAGCGGTTGTCCAATGGCCGGCGACCAATCTGCCTCACCCGGGAAGAGTGCAATGATAATACCAACATGGGCCAGTGAAGCGACGTCCTCCACAACTAGACTGAAGAACAAAAGGACAGCAACTTGTCTGTTCCCCTTCCCCAAGTCCGCAATTAAAAAAAAAATGTTTTAAAATGCAAATGAAAAGTCACAATGCCATGTGAAAAAATTCAAATCACAACAAAAATTCATGACTTGAATTTTTTGAAAAATATGCTGTTATATATTTAGTTTTAAATTTTAGAAAGAAATGTACCAAAATATTAGTGAAGTTAAAAAAATTAATAAAGTTACTCTGATAAGTGATATTCTAAGTGACTTTCTTTGCTCTTAACGTTTTCTGTATTTTTCTGATTTTTTAAAAATGTGCATGTGTTCGTGTTATAATCAGAAAGGAGGGAGGGAGGGAATCAAATAATTAAGATGAACATTAAAACACATGCTTTTTCTGGACAATCAGAAAGGTCAATAATACACAGTTAACAGAAAAATGTGTAGGTAGAACATTGTGACTGTGACTATTCCATCAATAGAATCTAATACCTCTTTACTGAGTCTTATTTCCTGTGAGGAGCTTGACAAGCTAACCCTTCTGCAAATCTAGGATCGTTACAAGTTCTCTTACACATCCACTGTGACCTCCGGAAAGCAAAATCCAGTCCTAAGGAATAAGGTACAGTCTCGGAAACAGCAGACTGCTTTTTATGTCCTGAGGAACAAGCAAACAATTTAGACTGGAGTTACACCTTTAGTATTCCTCACCTGAAAAATGCCTCATATATATGGGTGCCTCTTTGAAGTAGTTAAATAGGTTATCCATCAACCAGTTGCCTCCAGATAGTCAATAGCTCAGAACAGGCTGTTTTTCATGGTACCAGGTATTGCCGGGCGAAAAAAAAAATTGTTTTCCTTTTTGGATTATGCACTAAGCTCACTTGCATTTCAGTCTTTCTCTTTTCTTTTTTCTTTTTAGCGCATGATTGCAAATACTGCCAGAACAGTGAGATACTGCAGAAGCCAACCGTTCAGTAAGTTAACTACCACTGCATTATGCAGTACGGATCTTGGTGACTGAGTCCTTTTTAATGAGGCTACTGAGACATTGTAGAAGTCTGGACAATATTTGCTTGTGTCAAAGACACTTTGGACCATGAAATCCATGGGATAAGGGCCTTGAGTCTAACAACTAGGAAATCCTTAAAATAGCCAACCATAGGAATATTATTTTATGAATGAACTTAAAGAGAATGAATTTTCTCTTTCCAGTGTGGCCAGAGACAACTAAGGCATGATTGCCAACAAACCCTGCCTCAAACCAACTCTCTTTATGACTCACTGCATGATGTTGAGAAACTCACATCAACTCCTGATGACTCAGTTCTGTCGTTTATAAACTGGGAAAGATAATATTTGCTGGAGTGTTGCAAGAATGCATTAATGTGTGCAGCACATTTGTAAAAGTTCCCATAGCTGGGATTTATATTATACTTCTAGTACTCCAAGGTAAATTTAAGGTGCTCTTCTTACATTTTAACTTTTAGCACAATAACTGGTATACTGCCATGCTTTAATCTAAAACTATTACTACTAATAAATAGCAATTTTAAACTGTTGGGAGTTAAGTTGCATCATAGCACTAGATCAGCGTGCCAGACCAGTGCTGCTGTCTGCTCTGGGCGGGGATTTTAGGTGGAGGTGGGGCTTAGGCTCCAAGCTGGGCTTTGGCTCCCTCAAGCTGGGCTTGAGAAGGTGGCCCCTGTAAAGTTTGGTTCATTAAGTAAACACGATAATTTGACATAAACATGACTGTGTGGCTACTAGTACCATCCCCTCCAATAAACCTATTGCTAAGAGACTAAAAAGTTCTCGTTTTATTAATCAGGGCTATCTTTGCTGGCCCAAAGCAAGGGTTTGCTAACATGGCATGTCAGGACTGCTAAATGTTCATTTTCTTAAATGAACAGTGGAAAAAAGTCTTGGAAAAATAATCTTGACTTGGGGAGCAAGCAGACCTTTAAAAATTTTGATTCAGATGATTGTGCCTTCTCGTCCTTCCAGAGTGAGAATAGTCTTGCACATTCCTATGTGGATTCTGCCAGAATTAAAGTGTCTCATATCTCTTCATCTAGTAATTTGCTATATATATAAAGACATGGTCATAAAGTTATGTAAGAGAATATGAGACTATGTAAGTGGTGCCAGTCTGCAATATAAGGTTTTATAATCTAAAATCTGTGGCCCTTTGGGGGGTCCAGAAGATTCCTGAAATTAAGCGCCAAATTTTGTGTGCCTGTTGGGATTCGCAGCCTTGAGAAGGTTCTCGATGAGGTCTAAGAACCATGATAGAATATGTTTTGTTCCGTACTCCTCTTTGGAAGGAAATCTACCTTCGCATACATCTTGTCCTAGAGCTCTGGGGGAGAATTATATATATATATGTGTGTGTATATAAAACTCTACTGCATTTGTTGAAGTTATCAGTAACTGCTGGTAAACAACAGCTGCTCAGCTCTGAAGTCAACAATCTATAGATAAAGCTATAGGAATAGATTTGTAAACATTGCGGGAATATGTACAATGTAATTACAGTATATTGTATATGTGGAGTAGACTGCCAGTGAGAAGCGAGGAAATGAAACCCTGTGGTATTATTTATATGTGATAATTATACTGATGAGTTTCTTCTTACAGCAAGTAGGGGCCTTTGTATCCTCTCTCTGCTGTTCTGTGTTCAGACCTGCAATGATCCCCTTCACCCCCTAGGCAGATGGCATTCTAATTGTCTTTGGGAGTGGGGTGTGGACCTGAGAAGCACATATGGACTGCAGAAGACACTGTGCTGTGGGGTAAAGGACACTGGCCCAGAGTCCAGACTCTGGCTCAGTCACTCCCTGTGTCCTGCTAGACAAGAGCCCCACACCAGTGATCCACGGAGCAGAGGTGACCCAAGGACCACAACGGAGGTGTTGGGTCTAATCCAAGCATTATTTTTCATTACAGTTTATTGGGGTGACAATAGTTAGTAAAGTTACATAGGTTTCAGGTGTACAATTCTGTAATACATCATCTATATATCACATTGTGTGTTCACCACCCAGAGTCAGTTCTCCTTCCAGCCAAGCATCTTTTAATCTTTTATTTTAAAATAATGTCACCATTTAAATTCCCAGGGAAGAAATTCAGATTTCTCTAGAGAAATAGGGAGATCTGGCCCTGGGGCTGCTGATGCCCACGTGGCAGCAGCATGCAGAAAAGGTCACCTCTGAAGGGACCTGCCTTTCCAGTTCACCACTGTCCAACTGGCCTTCCTCATTTGTGTATATTCCTTGCATAGGAGCGTTTGATTCTTCTTTCAGCCTGGTTTTAGGGACCTAAGTCAATTTAGAGAGCTCCATTGCTCACATGCTTGGGAGAGTGCATGAGAGTAGAATAGTAACTAGGATTTCAGAGCACATAGCATCAGAGAATGAAAGGTCTAGCAGAAAGGTCTTCAGCCCATGAGTTGTGTGGTTTTTTTCTGAATATGGACAGTCTCTAAGAACACACAATCCATGCAGTATGCTGTATATTATATGAAAGTAACAAAAGGAGTCAGACTTATTAGACTTACTTGCTTGCTTCAGTTCAGCCCAGGTTTTAAGTGCTTTTTGTTTAGAGCTAATGACAACTGTCTTTTGCCATTAGTCCTCCTCTGGGTCAGAGGGGGCAGAAATCAGAGTGTGAGATACAGGTGCAGTGGTAAGGGGAAACAATTTTAATGTATAACCAGGGACTATCACGTGATGCTTTCACTTTTTTTTTGGTGCCATTTTGTTTTCCACAACATGCAATGCAAAGGAAAATTATAAAAATAGGTGATTCTGGGCCAGCCAAGTGGCTCAGTTGGTTAAGAGCTCGCTCAAGAGTGCGAGCTCTGAGCAACAGTGGTTCAATTCCTGGCCCGAGCTGAGTTGCCGCTGAGCTGCCAACAGGTGGCAGGATGGCTCAGCTAAAAAAAAAAGTGATTCCAAGAAAGAAAAGGGTGGAAGGGAGGAGATGGACCATCCAAGTGGAAACATTTAAACGAATATGGATGTTGATGAAAGGCCTTGATGGAACCCAGGAATCTATGATAAATGTAATAAATAGTTGGAGAAACTAAAGCTGTATCTTACATGCATATATTACACAGTGCCAATTCTGCTCTTTTCCAACAGATCTTGACGCAGCTCAAGCTAATAAGAACCATCAGGATGTCCGGAGTTATGTACGGCAATTAAATGTGATTGACAACCAGAGAACTTTATCACAGATGTCACACAGATTAGAGCCTCGTCGACCATAGACATTTAAAGTGCCCAGAACAATCATTTGCCTCCAGTCCACAGTCTTTCAAAAATGGCGTTTATGCTACTACTGACTGTATGATCACTAGAGAATTCTACAAAATAAGCAAAGATACACCCTGAGATACTTCAGGGCTGCATTCAGCTTACCAGCTTCCTGACAAGAGAAGAAATGATTTGATTTGCATAAAGCTTGCACTCTCTAGCTTAGGAACCCCCAGTTTGTAGTCACCTGATTTCATTTCCAATTGTGCCATCTTTGCTGAAACATAAAATAAGACCCACAATGAAGAGTTCGGTGGAAATACCATTATCAGGAGAAATATCAAGCCCCTGACATTTTTTCTAAGAATGTTAACAGGGTGAGACGTGCTACAAATGGGTTTTATTTGGATACATCAGTGGTCATATAGTTTCGTAATTTTTAATTCCACATCTTGATTTGGAGCATGAGGTTTGGGGAAGGTGTTGAGGAATTTGTGTAAATCCAAACTATAGGTTGTATTCTTCCATCTTCACGGTCTGACCTCTGAAGGGATTGAACCTGACCCTACTGCTATAAAACATTATAACTATTTATGTAATTTAGGGAGGAAGAGTATGTGATTTCTGAATGATATATAGAATAATATTTATGTTTACAACGTAACTTTTTTAAACTTACAAATCAGGATTACATACATAAGAATTCCACTAAGAAACTCCAAGGTTCTTAAAATTGCCAGCGTTGAGATAAAAAAATTGCATTTCAGAAGAGCACAATATGCACAAAACATTTTTCAAAATTAAAATATTTTCCTGGGCATTAAAAACCTTTACTATTGGCTAATTATTGTTACTGATTAAAAATCATATTTTCTGGACTTAAATGTTATTACAAATATCTTAATTTTCAGCAATTGTTTTGCACTTTCAAATAGATTGTAAATAGTTCATTCAATCAACGATATAGTTATTTATTTGCTACATAATAGATATTGTGCCAAATAATTACTTTTTATTTATTTTATTTAGTATGTAATTTTGGAGTACATTTTTTCCTGTTTTCACAATTAGGCTACATTTAATGTGTAGGAATTGTATGTATGTATATCTCCTATAAATAACAGCTAGTTATCTTCATTAAATATAATTGTTGACAAGAAATGGTTGTGCTCTCAATTCCTATAATATGGAAGGGATAACTATTTGGTATGGAGGGGTCCTGGATTTTTTTCAAATTGAAATAAAATTATATTTATATACTATAAAAGTCATCCTTTTAAAGTGTACAATTCAGTGGGTTTTAGTATACCCACAGGTTGTACAATCATCATCACATTCTAATTCCAGAATGTTCTTCTCATCCCTTAAAAGAAACCCTGTCCCCATTAGCAGTCACTTCTTATTCTCTTCTCCTCTCAAACCCTGAAAACTACTAACCTGCTCTCTGTCTCTGTGAATTTACCTATTTTGGACATTTTGTAAAAGTGGAATCATATAGTATGTGATCTTTTGTGTCTGATTTTTTTTCACTTAGCATGATGTTTTCAAACTCCATACATGTTATAGCCAGTACTTCATTACTTTTATGGCTGAATAGTATTCCATTATATGACTATACTATATGATGTTTGCCCGTTTATCAGTTGATGGATTCTTGGGTTGTTTCCACTTTTTGGCTATTAGGAATATTGCTGCTTTGAAGGGGCCCTGGATTTTAGAGCTGCCAGGTATTGTGCCTCGTACCACTTCTCAGTGATTTAAGCACCTCGTAAATTTTTGATGAAGAGATTTCCAAAAGTCCTTAAATTCCGGATATCTTTATAATGTATACATTATCCAGAGTATGATCCAAGCTATACTAGTCTCACAAGTTCACACTCTATTTCCTCCAAAAACAGACATACAACTGCAAAGCAAAGAACATACCAAGATGGTGTCTTCAAATAAATTTGGGAACTACTGTGTAATATACCCCATTCTTAGAAATGATTCCTAGTATTCATTCACGTATTGAGAGGTCCTGCTCTAAACCTTTCTAACATCCCACAGTCAAGCCCACGTTGAGAAATGCTAAAGCAGGCAGATGCTTTTTTGTGTCAATCACATAATAGTGTGAGGTCCTCTGGAGCAAGGGTTTTATTTCATACAGTATTATGCTTCATACTCGAGGAAAGCACAATGCTTGGAATTTACTAGAGGAAAAAGAAAGTCACTGGGTAAATTTTCTTGAAGTCATTGTTGTTCAGCTTTTCCCTCTCCCATAGACCTCAACACGAGCTGTAAGGTTTTTACTTGTACATTTTCCCTTTTCTAGATCATTTTTTAAAATGACAAATGAAGCCGCAAGCTTATCTCTTGGGCATCCTTGCTCTTGTTTTACTCTACTTCTACCTTACTTAAAAGCTGGTATCCTATTGCCTGACAGCTCCTTTTCCCCAGTCCCATGTGACTTGACATCATATGACCTCATTTTAATTTAGTTTCCACGTATTCAAAATTAATACATATTCCCCCATGAATATTCCCCTTGGTCTTCCAACTGAGAATAACTATTGCTGTACTTAATAAAGATAAGAGATTTTTAATTATGTCTGGCTTTTTTGAAAATGATTAGACTCTATTATCCAAGGTAAAGATGGTGAAGGAAAAGAATTCACACTCTAAAAATGGCGAGTAGTAGCCAGGCAACCCTTCCTGAAGCAGGAGCTGCAGTTAATATTTTCAAACTTGCAAACAAGCCGAAAGAAAATGAGATGCCTACAGGGTCACAAGAAGGATAATGAGGTTTGCTGGAAGACGTAAAAAAGAAGAAAGCATATTTTTACCAAAAGCACATATAGAAAATTATACATTTAAGTGTGGAACATACGTGCTTAGCAAGGCCATTGGTAACAGTGAACAGGAGCTAAGCTTTTCCAGCAATTTTGAATACCATGCAGGCTAAATAGGTTTCTTCTGAATTCAATGGCATTTCCTCTAAAATATGAATGCAGATCAATGACTCACAGTATGAGAAAATTAAAAGATGTGTCATTCTGGTTTCAAATTGTGCTTATAATATTTTTTTAATCACCATAGAATATGCAGTGTGGTAAAAATGAACCCCGAGCTTGAATAGCTCTTTTTTTACTGTCAATCTAAAATGTATTACATCTCTTACTTCAGAATAATCTTAATTTTCTCTATTTGTCCTACATGGAGAAGAGCGTGGTGTTAGATGAGCCAGTCACAGAATCTCCGGAGAAGAAACTGTAATGATTATTGTTTGTTATCTTTCTATCCGTTCATTCATTCACTAGCAAATCATGGTTGAGGAGCTTACTGAGTGCCAGGCCCTTTATGAGTTCAGGAATCAATGGTGAGAAAAACTAGAGGGTCCCTGTTCTCCTGGAGCATAACACTGAGTGGGAAAGACAAAAGGTTCATCAAATAATCAAACAAATAAACATAAAAATATTGCCAAGAAATATATGGTGTCGCAAGAACATGTAATAAGAGGATTTAACTTGATCTGAGGTGAGGAAATGTTTCCTGTGGACATTACAGTTGCTGCCCTGAGCTCTGCAGGATTACACTGCTAACTCAGCAGAGAGAGGAGAAGAATATGTTCTAAGCAGGAAATAACCTTGATGGTGTGAAGGATGGAGAGCTCACTGTGACCAAGAAGAGAGAATGGGGTGAGAGTACTCCAAAATGCGCTGGGAATGTAAGACTGGCTCAGAGCATGGGAGGCCTGCAGCAGGCCTTTATAAGGAGCTTCGCCTTTTACCCAAGAGCAGTGGGAAGCCGCTGAGGTGCTTGAGGCAGAGGGCTGCGTTTCTAAGGGGAACTCTTGGAGGCCAAGATCATTGCTTTATTTTTGTTTGTTGTTATTGTTGTTTTATTGTTTGGGGGGGAGGGTTTAATGGTGCATTTTTTAAAATTTATTTTTAATTATAGTTGATATAAAATACTATATTAGTTTCAGGTGTGCAATCTAGCGATTCAACATTTACATGCCTTACAAAGTGGTCACTACAATAAGTCTAGTAACTATCTGTCACTGTATACTTACTATGACATTACTGACTGCTCCCTATGCTGTACATTGCATTCCTAGGAAGGCCATTGCTTATGATACCACACAGCAGATGACAGGTGGTGTCACCCCTAATTACTTTATTATGCAGGCTTAAAGTTCGGGAAAAGGGACTTGTGGATAATAGCAAACATCAAAAAGCATATTAAGTTAAAACATTAAAAGTGGTAGGCCCAGAGCCCCCACAGTGTCAAACACCATCCTTCCTCCTGACTTGGTCCACACTGAGCCACTTTTTAATTTTTTGTGGTGGTAAAATATATATAACATAAAATTCACCATTTTAAACCTTCTTGAGTAGGGCATGAAGTACATTCATATTGTTATGCAACCACTATCCGTCTCCACAACCGTTTCATCTTCCCAGACTGAAACTACCCCATTGCACAATAACTCCCCACTTCTCCCTACACCCAGCCCCTGACAACACAATTCTACTTTCTATAAATTTAGAGGTTACCTCATATAAATGGAATCATACAATATTTGACTCACTGTTTCCCTTAGAATAATGTTTTCAAGGTTTATCCATGTGGTATCACATATTAGAATTCGCTTCCTTTTTTAAGACTGAAAAAGATTGCCTTTCAGGCATATGCCACATTTTGTTTATCCATTTATCCACCGTTTGGTGTGTTGCCCCCTTTGCTGTTGTGAATAATGCTGCTGTGAACGTGGATGTACAATGACCTGTTCGTGTCCCAGCTTTCCATTCTCTGGATATGTACCTAGAAGGGGAATTGCTGAATTGTACGGTTATGCTAGGTTTTTGAGGAACTGCCACACTGTCTTCCCCAGTCGCTGCTCCATTTCATGGGCGACATTTGAGATGGCCCCTGCTTACCTATGTCATCTTCTTGGAGACTGAGGGTGCCAGTGTATTGGATGGCTGCTGGAGAAAAGCAGTGGCTGACGGACCCAGGGCTCAGTGTGTGGATGGAGCGTGGAGCAGGAAGCCACTTTACCACTGTGCCCTCTTTTAAGCCGTGACGGCTCACGAGGCAGTCACAGCCCCAGAACCTTGGCCTGTCCTTGCTGCTCTGTTGGTTAATGTATTGCTTGTGGCCTGACACTTAAGGATGGGAAGGCTGGAGGAAACGTTACTAACCTCCAGAGAATAAGGGCGTGGGAATAGGAAAGCGCCTGCCTTGCTTTGGCTCCTTTGCATGTGCTAGTCTGGCAGCTAGGGAAGATCAAGGATGATGCAACAGGAAGCCAGGATCTTTGTTCTTGGGCAATTTAAATTTGGAAACATCGGGGCAAAGGCCTTGCTATAAAAGAAAGTGAGCACAAGACACTGTGAGCTCGTGGGTGCTGACACGGGAGCACCCCCAGACTTGGGAAAAAGAGAGAGACTAGGGCCAGGGCATGTGAGAGCTGCCAACCCTACAATTGTTTCCTCCCTCAGTACCTGCAGGGAGAGTTCAGACTCCTCCTATCAGAGAGAGTCCAAAAGTGAGAAATTCTACAATAGGAGGACCAACACAAGAGAATAATTGGAGAAAAGGTGGCATAAATTTCTTCAAAAACAGATTTTTGCAGCACCTGAGAATAAAAGTGAATTGGAAGACCCTCATGAAGTCTTCATCCACTTAGCCAGAGACAGGTGGCAAGAGCTGTAGAGTAGGGCCGGCCGAGTGGCTCAGTTGGTTAAGAGCTCGCTCAAGAGTTTGAGCTCTGAGCAACAGCGGTTCGCTGCCCGGCCCGAGCTGAGCTGCCGCTGAGCTGCCAACAGGTGGCAGGATGGCTCAGCTAAAAAAAAAAAAAAAAGAGCTGTAGAGTAATAACACAAGGACCGGGCAGGAATGAAGGAGAGCTAACTGGTGGTTCCAGAAGGAGCTGGGACAGTTTAGGGCAAAGGGATAGACTCTAACGGTTCAGTCTCCCCAGTAGGGTGAAGGGCTCAAGGCGAGGAAACACGGCAGCTCTGGGGGTGGATAGGTTCTGCACCAGCCAAGGTGCAGCAGCTTGAGAAGGAGGAAGAAATAAGTGGTTCTGTGGAAAGATAAACCGTATCAGCAAGTAGCAGTGATTGTGTGCATTACACAGGCTTCTCCAGAGAAACAGCACCAATAGAATGTGTATAAATACTGAAGGAGATTTACTATGAGGAATTGGCTCACATGATTATGGAGGCTGCAAAGCCCAAAACCTGCAGTGTGGGCCAGCAGGTGGGAGACACAGGAGA